ACATCCTACAGAGTACTCCCCTTTATGTTTGCCCAGGAGAGGGGCGCACGCAGTCTCAAATAGACAAATGTGGGGGACCTGACAAGTTCTATTGTGCGACATGGGGATGTGAGTCCACAGGTACTGTCTCGTGGACTCCACCCATCAGAGATGATTTAATCTCATTAAAAAGAGTCCCTGGACCCACTGGCCTCAGTAGCGATAGTGTTGCAACTTTTAGCAGATCGTGTACAGGATTCCTTTGTAACCCAATAAGACTTTCATTTACTGACCAAGGTAAAAAATATATCAGGTGGGAATCGGGCTGGACATGGGGACTCCACCTATATCAAGATGGTTTTGACAGCAGGTTACTGTTCACTGTAAGACTCAAGGAGCCACTCGTCATAAAATCTCCCCAGCCCACTGGGCCAAATTTGGCGCTAGTCCCCTTAGCTCCTCCTTGACCCACCAAACCCCTTCCTCAGAAAATCTCGTCCGTGCCTCCAAAGACCCCCATGCAGATACCAGATCTGACCTCTGTACCTACGCTCCTGCCCTCTGTACCTACGCTCCTGCCCTCTGTTCAAACTGTCACCCAGGCTGAAAAAGCCAACCAAGACCAAGACTCCCTTTTGGGGCTGATGGTTCACACCTTTAAGGCCCTAAATGCTTCTAGGCCGGATCTCACCCAGTTCTGCTGGTTATGCTATGATATCAAGCCCCCTTATTATGAGGCAATAATGTATCTGGGCAATTTCACTAGATCGGACAGTCCAACTCAGTGTAGATGGCAACAAAAAGGAACAGCCAGACTGACCCTACAGTCAGTAACTGGACAAGGGACTTGTGTTGGCAGTATCCCAACCTCTCACCGATGCCTTTGTGGCAAAACCTATCAGTCTAGGTTGAGAAAATACCTTGTTCCCCCTTCCGACAGATGGTGGGCTTGCTCCTCTGGACTCACCCCCTGTGTACATGGAGAGGTGCTTAAGTGGACTAAAGATTTCTGTGTACTGGTACAGTTGGTCCCTAGGCTCTTATATTACTCAGAAAAAGACATCCTCGGTCCCCTGACTGAGACCCCAGCCAAGGTTAAGCGAGACCCTGTAACAGCAATCACTCTGACAGTCCTCTTAGGCTTAGGACTAGCTGGAACAGGTACAGGAATTTCATCATTAGCGTTACAAAATAAACATTACCATGATTTAAGAGCGGCCATAGATATAGATATTGAGAGACTAGAAAACTCCATCTCCCACTTGCAAGAGTCTCTAACCTCCCTGGCAGAAATGGTCCTCCAAAATCAGAGGGGACTAGATTTAATCTTTCTACAACAGGGAGGACTTTGTGTCGCCCTAGGTGAAGAATGCTGTTTTTATATAGACCACTCAGGAGTGGTCAAAGAATCTATGGCCAAAGTCAGAGAAGGTATTGCTAAATGAAAACGAGAATGGAAACGAGGCTCAAAATTGGTTTGAATCCTGGTTTAATTCCTCCCCATGGCTGACTACCCTAATCTCCACTCTGATAGGCCCCTTACTCATTCTGGTGCTATTGTTGATGCTTGGGTCCTACATACTTAACAAACTGGTCTCATTCGTCAGAGAACACATTAACTCTGTACAGCTGATGGTACTCAGGTCCCAATACCAGCCAGCCCAGCCAGTGTTGACAGGCCTAATAGAGTTGGCCCACAGAGGCCCATGATTGGTCCTCCATACCATCCTGTGAAGGGGGGAATGTGAGGCCCACAGTGACTCCATCTTGCTAAAATTCACCTTGTCTCTATTGTTCTTGTAAGCTAAGGGTTAAAATGTGCTTGCCCAGGGACAAAAAGACACAATCTAAAACGAGGCCAAATTCCTAAGGTTATTACCCAGCCATCTGTGTATCCAGAGAAAGAGTGTCCCAGGCACACTATCTATAAGATAAGCAGTTAATGGACTGACTATCCACACAAGATAGACGTGACCATTAGTCAGTGGATCTGCTAACCATCAGTATGTGACAGTCAGCCATTAACCTTTGCCCCTTTCTCCCTTGCAAAAACCTACATGTAATCCCCCTCGACCCCCAATAGACCTAGCCAATCAAAAATATACACTTCATGCTTGCTAAAATGTTAACCAATCACATAGCTGCTAAGTAGAAACCCCTAACCTTGATGTAACTTCTATAAAAACCCTGCTAATTTGAAACTCAGGGCTCTCAATCTTGACCCGCTGCATCGGTGACAGTTGAGAGCCCCTGCTCGAGCTTGAATAAATGACCCTCATGTGCTAACATCAGAATCGGCCTCCTGGTGGTCTTTGGGACTCCACGATCTGGGCACAACAGAGACAGGTGCAGTGCCACTGAGCTAAATCCCGGCCTCTAACTGAGTCTTAATAAGGGACAAGTGAGAGTCCTTTTTCAGTTGTCTTTGAAGGTCTTTGTGTCACCTGTTACAGGTTTACCACCCAGGTGCTGGTAAATGACTTTGAATCAGGAATTAATGACAAAACCTGAGGCAAAACAGAACAAAGACAGGGAAGTTTTAAAGAGAACTACCCATCCCTGGGGTAAATGCTGCCTTGGAATGCTGGCAGACAGCATGAGCTGTGTCTGTACCAGCAATCAACCCCTGTTAGGTATTCCAAAACCCTGCAACCCCCGAAAGAACAAGGGCCCCCCTTCTCCTCCCATAACAGCAAACAGGGAACTTCTGCATAACTAAGGCTTGACCCCTCCTAGTTAATGGCCGCCTGCCTAGTTAGGGGCTTTTCTGCCCCCCTGGTTTCATGATCAAATGTTCCCATAAGATAAGGACATCCTGGGGCCTGTTACTCCATCCCCCAACCAAAATTTGTTGCTATATGCCCTAACCACAATCACCCACCCCCATCAAAGGACTACATGCTCTCCCACATGCAAAAAGCCCATATAAACCTCCAGCTCAACTCATGGTGCTGCTGGTCTCCCTTTTGTGAGTCAGCCCGGCAGGCTGCAGACTGCTGCCCCAATAAAGCTTGCTGCTTGAACATATGTGTGCCCCTTACTTCTTTGGTGACCCTTTCAACCCCTCCACTCCAGTCCATATAAAAAGGGAGTTCCCAGGAGAGGGGAGAGCTGGCCAGGGCTGCTTTTGGCTGTGTGGCCCTTCTCTCCCTCCCAAGGTGGAGGGAGAAGACTTCAGTAGTGTACCAGTCAGGGGGAATGGACATTACTGGAGTCCCCTGCAGTAGATCCCAGCTTCCTATGAGCCACCACAGCACCAGTGAAAGGTTAAAGAATGGACAGAACTTGAGACTTATAGTGAAGCTGAGTCTTGGGTCCAGATCATTGCTGCTCTAGGCAACAAAGACAAAAGCCCCAAAGCAATACAGTGTTTATTGAATACAATCAAGAGAAGGAATAGAGAGCTAGGGAGCTTTGAGGACATCTAGTGAATTACTGCTGAACACCTGGCAGGATGGCGCCAGGCAGGGCTGTTAGGGAGTAGGCACTGTTTATCTTGCTAGGATAGAACAAACCAGTACTGGGACCAGGCGCAATTAGCAAGCATCCCACAAAGTCAGTGAGAATCCATAATTCAGGGGAAAGGATTTTAATTGGGGTCACACTGACCTCAGCCACACATAATTCAGCAGGACCCTGCCACTCCACAGACCAGGACTTAGGCCTTGGTGACAGCCCTTAGCAAAGGAGCAATACTAGCCCAACTCTGCTACCTGACATGCCCATTTGAGTCACACAGGGATTTAGCCTGGCTCTTAATATAAAATAGTATAGCTGAATTAGGGAAGGCAAGAGGCATGTGCCACTCATAGCCTGCTAATACTGGGCAGGGATGTCTCCTACATAGTAGAAGCACCAAGAGAGCCTGGGAGCCTATGAGAAGGAGCCTGCATTTGTTCCCTCAGCTGAACCTTTCTTTGGTGACTGGTACAGGAGGGCCAGACAGGGACAGTGGCACCTGTCACACCAGGCTGGGCAGGGAGACACATGTTTGGGCCTTCACTGGCTCTGAGACACTGTTGGTCAAGTGAGGGACTGGAGGCAGGTGAAGTAGAGGTGCAGGGGAATGTTGGGGGCAGAGGAGATGGGGTAGGTGGAAGACGTAGAATGAAAGCTGAAGCTCATGTCACTGTGGTAGAGGAAATAATAAAGCTGACTGTGTCTCTTCCTCCCTACCACCACCTCTTTCAGTTCCTTAAGCCTAACTCCCAAAAGAAATGCAGGTTAAATGTCTTGGTTTGTTTTGGCTGCCATTACAAAATACTGCAAGCTGGGGAGCTCATGAAGAGCATTTCTGAAGGCTGGAAAGTCAAGGCTCAAGGTGTGTCAGCTCTGCATCTGGTGAGGGCCCACTTCCTGGTTCCTGGGCAGAGCAGTCTGTAGAGGAACTTCTCAAGGTGGATGGGCAGGGTTTCTCAGTGGCCTCTTATGTAAGGGCACTAGTCCTGCTCAGTCACCACCCAAGGCCCCACCTGCTCACCCAGCACTTTGGGGTCAGGATTTCAATGTAGGAATGAATCTGCTGACTATCACACTGGATTCTGTACAGCAGACTGATGTGCTTATCATTGGTGGGGACCCAGAACCACTGAGATAAATCCTTGACACTGGTAACATATTATTTGTGAAGAACAACATTACTTTGGAACTTATAATCACCTGACATTTATTCCCCTCCACAATCTCAAACATCTCACTCCCCAAATATGATCTCTTTTCTTGTATTTTTGCCTAAAATGGTCTTAACTAGGTCTTTGATTCAAATTAAAAGTCTATCACTTTACTCAATGAACAGTCCTATTCATCATTAAGGCAAATCTACTGTCCTTTCCTCAGAAAAACTTTCCTTGACTTTTCTGATTAGGTTAGATGTTTTTTTCTTTTTTTGATACCTGTGATCAAACTTGGGACCTTGTGCTTGTGAGGCAGGCAGTGCAAACACTGAACTAAATTCCAGGCCCCAGGTTAGATGTTTTATTTGAGTAGTTGCTAGGAGAAAGGAGTAACAAAGATAACAGAGATCAACAGTTAGGACAGGTTTATTCAGAACAAAGCTAGAGGGACCACCCTGGTCCTTAGACCAGACTTGTGACTCTCCAGGCTATGAGGTCCATTGTAGGGTTGTGAGCATAAAGTGGGGTGGGGGGTGGGGTGAGGGGAAAAGTTCAGTGAAAAGGAGCTGTGGCTATCTGGTAACCCATGATTATGCATCTTTAGCAGACATGAAAGCAGAAGAGGATGGGAGAAGCTTAAACTGATCAACCTAGGATGGTGGTGGTTGGATTCCTTCCATCGTCCTTAAACATCATCATCTTAGTCTTTTCTACCTTATTCTTTATTAACATTCTAATTTTGTTTATTCAAGTGCTTACTACCTGATTACTCTCAGGTCCTATTGAATCCAGAAGGAGAAACCTATACCTGTTTTGACTGATCTCCAATGCCTACCACAGTTTTTAGCCCATGGTAAGCTCTCAGTAAGATATTCAGTATATAGATATTCTCACACCTTCATTTTTTCAACTCATTGATTGACTGATCTTAATATTCTGTATTTTTCCAATCTACCTGCCTTCTAACTTGACTCCCACCCAGATTTGACTTCTCTTATCAAACACTGACATGGCTTCTTTTGAGTGTCTTAAATTTCTCAGTTCTCTTCCTCTTACTGTACCTTATCACAATATTCCAACCCCTTTTCTTATACCTGGGGCACTTATAACCTGAAAGGGAAAGGTTTTAGATAACTTAGTAGATTGAATATTAAGGTAGTTGTAAAAGCAAAATAAGTTATGTGTTCCTTTAAGATTTGCTTTTCCTGTAACTCTCCTGGTTTAAGGTGACAGTAATCTGACTCTTTAACCAGTAACTTCATTAACCTAACAAAGTTGCAATGGCTGGGTGAATTTACAATGTATATGTGCCTATCTTGTGTCTGTGACTTGTAAATAGGAACTGGAATTGTATTTACACATCAAAGACCACTAAGGATGAAATAATGGCTAAAAAGGATATAAAAAGGAAAATGCTGAACAAAATGCCTGAACATAAAACTAGGCATGTTGGTACCACTCTACAGCCATAAAATCCACAACTATCTGGCAAGTCCTGACAACCTCCACACCACTCGGTGATTTGACTCTGTTTTTTTTTGTTTTGATTTTTCACCTGACCCTGTAGGAAGTTGGTAAATGCCATGAGAAGAAGTACAAGTCAGGATTTTCCCAGACAAATAGGGTCATATGGTCACAAGTATGTAAAGTCTTTCTAAATGCTTCACTTAGTATGTATATTTCTCTCCTATAAATTTTATCTTATTTTTGTTTCTTTATAGTATAAATGTATTCCTAAACAATGTACATTTCTCATCTTGTTTTAAGCATAATATAAATTCAATCATACCATATATATTCTTCTGGGACTTTCTTTCAGGCAATAATGCTTTTGAGATTTATCCACATGATATATCTGTAATGTATTCAGGATTATTTTGCTTTGCCCCATTGATAAATATAGCACAATTTAACAAGCCCATTAAGTAAACTAACTGCCAGTTAATATTAGACAGGTCTTTTGTTGGTTTGCAATATTGGTGATTGAAGCCAGGGAGTTCAGTGTCCTGAGCCCTTTTTATTTTGAGACAGAGCCTCACTAAATTGTCAGGCTGGCTTCAACTTGTAACCCTCCTTCCTCAACCTTCCAAGTATCTGGGATTATAGATGTGCCCCAGCATGCCCCAGCAGTAACATTAGACAGTCTTTAATTGGAAGCTATTACAATAAATATTGCTAAGAATATTCTCGTATCATCTCATTGTGTTCAAGTGCAAAACTTTGGGACATGAGGCGGATGAAGGTTTACAGGTTTTAGGATATATGCATGTTAAACTGAACATGAAATTACTTCACAAAGAGCTTGTACCAATCAATTCCCACCACCACTGTATGAAAGTTTTTATTACTCTACATTCTTACCAACACTTAATTTCATTAGTTAAAATTTTCTGCTGCCGGGAGTGGTGCTGTATACCGGTAATCCCAGCACTCAGTAAACTGAGGCAGGAGGATCACAGCAAGTTCAAGGCCAGCCTGGGCTACATAATGAGTTCAAGGTCAGCCCAAACTGCATAATGAGAGCCTGTCTCAAAAACAACAACAACAATCTGTCAAACTAGGGCACAGAAATGCTGTGTTTTTGTCCTTCTAATTTGGATTCCTTCATTTCTAGCAGGCTGAACATTTTTTTATATGTTCATGGTTTCTTCTATGAAACACCTTTTAACCTCTTATCTGTGTAGCTTTTTTTATTTGTAGAAATTTTTAAGACAATCTTCATGCTAATTCTTCTTGTAATATCTTCTTTTTTACTTATATTTTCACTTACTTTTTGGTATCTTTTGATAAAATAAATGTTCACAATTCAATGTGGTTCAATTTGTCAGCCATATGCTGTTAAGTGTTTTTCACACATTGAAAAATATTTTCCTACTTTATTTATTTATTTTTTTTAACTTTTTTTGGGTACCAGGTATTGAACTGAGGTCCTTGCTCTTGTGCACCAGGTGGCAAAATCACTGAGCTAAATCCCTGGCCCTCCCTACTTTAACATCTTAAAATATTTTCCTATTTTTGTCTGCAAAAAGTTTTATAATTTTGCTTTTCATATTTAGGGTTTTAATGTACCTGAAGCTTTTTTTTCCTTTAGACAAGGGGCCTCGCTATGTAGTCCAGGATAGCCTTGAGTTCTCTATGTCACCAGGGCTGGCCTTGAACTCACAGTCCTCCACCCTCAGCTTCTAAGTGTTGAGATTCTAGATGTTGGGCAGGGGATTAGCTCAGTGGTTCTGCTCTTGCCTCAAAAGCTCAGGTCCTGAGTTTGATCCCTGGTACCAAAAAAAACAAAAAGAAAGAAAAAAGAGATTCTAGATGTAGTACTATTTACTCTGGAGCCATTCTTTCTCCATTAATCTGTGATTCTGTTCCATCATAAACTATATTTCCATATAAGCACGGGTTTTATTCAGAGCTCTCATTTCTATTTTATTGATCTACCTTTTAAAAACATCCTAAAGTGAATCCTGCATTTTTATTTTTTGCCAGCATCAGATTTATTTATTTTCTATTTCTTTATCAAGTTCATTATCATAAACACAGATTAACACCTGGACTAGCAGACCAAATAAGGTATAAAACACATAAAACAATTATACTAAATCAAGTTACACTTTTATTTTGTTTTTGCTTTTTGGTACAGGGGATCGAACTTGGGACCTTGTGCTTGCAAGGTAGGTGGCGGAACCACTGAGGTAAATCCCCAGCCCTAGTTACACTTTTAGATACATTGGCCATGCCAAATTATAATAATTTCTTTCTTTCTTTTTTTCCTATTGTTTGTCTGTTTTGCACTTCATATATTGAGTTTCTCATATAAGAGAAAACATGTTATATTTAAGCTTGTGAGTCTGATTTCACTCAACATTATCTCAAGGTGCACCTGTTTTCCTACAAATGACTCAACTTTATCCTTCTATATGACAGAGTAGTAAACCATTGTGTGTAAGTACCACATTCTCTTCATCCATTCATCTGTGGATGGACATATAGGCTTCTTCCAAGATTTACCTATTAAGAATTGTGCTGCTGTAAACACGAGTATGCATAGAGCCCTCTAATATGACATCTTTAAGTCTTTTAGAAGCATACCTAGAAGGCAAAAGCTAGGTCAAAAAGAATTTCTATTTTTAGTTTTTCTGAGAAATCTCCATAGTGTAGTGGTTTTACTAGTTTACATTCCCACTATCAATGGATAAGGATTCCTTTTTTCCTGCAGCCTCACCAGCATTTGTTATTTGATTTCTCAATGGTAGCCATTCTTTCTGGCGTGAGATGGAATTTCACTATTGTTTTAATTTGTATTTCTTGAATGGTCACTGGTGTTGAACACTTTTTTTATGTATTTATTGCCCATTTGTATTTCTTTTTCTGAGAAGTGTATGTTCATTTCAAATGCTCATTTTTTGATTTGGTCTTTAAATTTGGGAATCTAATTTGTCCAAGTTCTTTATATATTGTAGATATTAGTCCTCTGTCTGAGGAGTAGCTGAAAAAAATTTTTCTCAGCCTGTAGGTTGTCTCTTGATTCTGTTGGGATTTTCATTTGCTGTGCAGAAGTATTTAATTTGATAATTCGCATTTGTTGATTCTTGATATTATTTCTTGTGAAACTGGGGTTCTGTTCAAGAAGTCTTTGCCTATAACTATGTCTTCAAGAGTTTTATATATTTTGTCTTCCAGCAGATTTTTTCTGGTTTAATACTTAGAACTTTGATCCATTTTGATTTTAGTTTAGTGCAGTGTGAGAGAGATGGGTCAAGATTCAATCTTTGGCAGGTGGATAACTAATTGTCTCAGCACTGTTTTTTGTTTTTGTTTTTGTTTTTTGGTACTGGGGATCAAACTTGGGACCTTGTGCTTGTGAGGCAGGCAGCAGAACCACTGAACTAAATCCCCGGCCACAGCACCATTTTTTAGATAAGCTATCTTTTCTCCAGTGAAAATATTTGGGCCCTTTGTTAAAGATAAGGTAGCTGAGTGTGCCTAAAGATGGTTTTGCATGGTCTCTTCTGTTCTGGTGATTCATAAGTCTGTTTTTTCCCCCAATACCATACTGTTTTCTTGTTTGTTTGTTTATTTTTGAGACAGGTTCTTGTTATGTAGCCCAAGCTGGCCTCACATTCACTGCTGATCCTCCTGCTTCAGCTTCTTAAGTGCTGAGATAATAGGATGGTGCCACCACACTTGGTTTACCAAGCTGTTTTTATTACTATAGCTCTTTAATATAACTTGAGGTCTGGGATTGTGATGCCTCTTCTGGTGCCATATGAATTTTAGGATTGATTTCCCCAATTCTGTTAAGAATGCTATCATTATTTTGATTGGGATTGTGTATCTGTGTAATAGATTGGGAGGTATGGCCATTTTGACTGTATTGGTCCTGCCTATACAGGAACAGGGGATATATATCATTCCATTTTCTGATGCTCCCTTTAGTCTTCTTTTCCAGAGAACTTCAGTTTTCACTATTTAGGTCTTTCACTTTCTTGGTTAGGTTCATTCCTAAGTATTTCATTTTTTATGTTATTGTGAAATGTATTTCTTCCCTAATATCTCTCTCTGAAATTATTATTGGTGTACAGGAACACTACTGAGTGTTCAGTATTGACTTTGTATCCTGCTCTGCTAATGGGTTTGGTTATTAGGTCTAAGAATCCTTTGGTGGAATTTTTTGGATCTTCTCTGTATGACCATGTCTACAAACAATGATAATTTAACATCTTCCTTTCCTGTCCATATCTCTTTTATTTCTTTCTCTTGTCTAATTGCTCTTACTAAGGTTTTGAGAACTATGTTGAACGGAGTGGTGAGAGTAGATATTGTTGTCCTGTCCTCATTCTGATTTTAGAGGGA